CTTTTCGCTAGGAAGTGACATTTAGCATTGGTAAAGCTTCTTACTGGTTTGGGGAAAGTTTCCTGGCAGTCCTGAGCCAGAGAATGGCTAATGATGTGGAATGGAGAGGGGACTATTGACTTTTCACAAGATGGTTATCAGGGCAGCTGAGGAAGATAGATCTTCACCTCCATGTGTTCTTTCTGGTATGCAAGTTCTTTCTGGGTGTCCTGGCTATAGAACCAGGAAAGTCAGGAAAAGAATTTTTATTCTTTTTGTTTTTGTTAATCCTCATCAAAGGATATTTTTCCATTGATTTTTAGAGAGGGTGGAAAAGAAGGGGGAGAGAGAGAAACATCAATGTCAGAGAGACACATAGATTGGTTACCTCCCACACTCCCACATGAGCCCCGGTTTGAACCTTCAACGAAGGTACATGACTGGAACCAGAATTGAACCCGGCACCCTTCAGTCTGTGGGCGAATGCTCTTTCCACTGAGAAAAACCAGCCAGGGCCAGAATTTTTATTCTTTAAAGCTTGTTTCTCCCCCACTATGGTTGAGTGTTTACTTACAACCTCTGTTTTTGAAGGGTATTACTAAAAGCTACTTAAGGTTTATAAATGTTGGGGTTTATTTGGATTGTTTAATAAGATTTTATTGTCACATTTCAGTTATTTTAATTATACAATTTTTAGTTATAAATATAATTCCCATATAAAGTTAAAAGAACACAGGATATTATTGAATATGTAAAATAAAAATATCTTTGTTATCCCTCATGCTTTTTAAAAAATATATCTTTATTTATTTATTTGAGAGAGAAAGAGAGAGACATTGATTTGTTTTTCTATTTGATTATGTATCCATTGGTTGCTTTTTGTGTGTGCTTACAACCTTGCTTATTAGTACAATGCTCTAACCATCAGAGCTACCTGGTCAGAGCTTCTCCTACCTCTCATTCTTCAAACCTTTTCCCAAGGGAAACACTTTTTTTTTTTTTAATTTAAGGAACATTTTTTTAAAGTATGATTTTATTTGTTTTAGAGAGAGAGGAAGGGAGAGGGACATAGAGGTAGAAACATCAACTTTAAATAGTAGAGAAATGAAATAAAAAAGAAAGAAAAGAAACATCAACATTGATTGAGTGCCTCTGTTAGGGATGACCCTGAAACCTGGGCATGTGCCCTCACCAGAATCAAACCAGGACTTCTTGATGCATTGGTTGGTGTTCAGTCACAATGAGGCCCAAGGGGAACGCTTTTAATAAAATTGTGTTATATACAGTTTAAATAGTATATTTTATCTATGGGAAACAGGCCTAAGCCAGCAGGCGGACATCTTTTTCACAGTCCGGGACCCCTCGTTCCTTACCACCCACTTGCTCACTGCTCCTTACCACTCAGCTTACAGCTCCTTAGTGCTATCATGGAGGCAGGAGAGGCTTCCACCACTGCCACTGTGCTCAACAGCCATGAGCCCTATCTTTCTGTGTAGTTGTCTATGGACCAATTCTCTCTTCCTTCTGAGTGGGTTGTTATCATATTTGCTGGATTATTTCAAGTGTTCTCATAGGACTTAGGGTGAGCAGCATGTGAGGGCAGAGTGCACTGTCATGGAACGCATAGGTATATCTACACAATGGAATACTATGCTGCCATAAAAAAAGAAGGAATTCTTATCATTTGTAGCAACCTGGATGGAATTGGACAACATTATCCTGAGTGATATAAGCCAGTCAATGAAAGCCAAATACCACATGACCTCACTCACTTATAAATAATAAAGAACATTATAAACTGATGAACAAAAAGATAGATATAGAGACAGTAAAGTAACAAACAGACTGTCAAATTACAACGGGAAGGGTAGGGAGATATGGGGGAGATAAGAGATCAACCGAAGGAGTTGTATGCATGCATATAAGCATAACCAATGGACACAAAACTCTGGGGGATGAGAGCATATATGGGGGGGGGGGGCAATGGTAAGATATGTACACATATAATACCTTAATAAAAAATGAAAAAAAATAGTATTACTATTTCCTTAGGCAAGTAGACTAGAAAACTTTTTGTCATCTTTGACTTATTCCTGTCCTTCACTTCTCATACTCAGTTAATAATTTGTTAAAAGTCTTTGAAAGGCCATTTATGCCCATTTTGTATGCTTCATATTTACTGCAATAAAGCTAGTGAATATAATACTTAGTTATGTGTCTGTCCATCTTTCCATCTTTTCCTTCATCCATCATCCATGCATGCCTTGTGAATCTCATAACCTTCCTATTTAAAAAATATATATTTGAAAGATAACAAAGTGGAACACTGTAAACCTGGATTAAACGGAAACAGAATAGGCCTAAATCAATTGTTCTTACCTTTAGATGCATTAGAATCAATGGAGAACTTTTGAAAAATACTGATGCTCAGAAAAACTCACAGAGATTTGACTTCCTATGGTCTAGAGCTCCCTTGGTTATTGTAATGTGCAGCCAGGTTGGGAACTGTTGGAATTGAAAATGACGGAGTAGATGTTACCAGCCACTTGATATGAGCTGATTACCACCTTTGAAACATGTGTATGGCTGGAAAGGCAAAAGGGGATATATGCTCTGTTAAACATATCTCATTGTCTGACAAAACATTTTGCTCCAGATTAAATTCTAAAAGTAACATAGTTCTGTTCCAGGAATGCAACAATAGTTACTCTTTACTGAATAGTTGCCACGGCTAAGCATTATGCCAGTTCAAGGAATTATCACTTTTAAGTTTCACCAGACACCTATGATGTGAACATATTATTAACCTAATATCTCAAATGAAGAAACTGGGATGTTGATAACTTAAATAAGTTTCCAGCTTTTGGATTCAGGCTAATTGCAAAACCCTGGTTCTTAACCATTTTATTGCACTGCCTCTAATGTGAATACTGGGCAATACCTCCAGCTTTTGCAAGACACAGCATGTGATGGTCAAATGGAGATTCTTGTAAAATAAAGACTGAATGTAAATAATTTAACAAGAGCAATTTTTGCAAGGTATTTAGATAACATTTTGCTTGGTGATCATCTACCTTACAGGTAGAGACACTAGAAATTTTGGAAGAGTGAGTTGTTATCATATTTGCTGGATTCTTTCAAGTGTTCTCATAGGAGCTTGAGGATGGTCTAGCTTCCCCCACAGAGCACCAGCAGGGGCCTGAGAGGAGGTGGGGTAAAGCAGGAGTGCAGGACAGAATGGGATGAGGCTTAGCAGGAAATGGTAAAAGGGGTAGGAAACTGGTAAGGGCATCCAGCTTGAGGTGCTCAGCTTGAGCAATGTGAGGAAAGTGGGTTGGGCTGAGCAAGAGGAAATTCCTGTCCTGAAGAGGAGTATAAATGGATGAAGCTGTGTGGTTTCAGAGCCAAGGTCAGAGGCATGGGTGTGCCTTTGGCTTGGGAATGGGAGGAGGGTGCAAATATTTAAAGAGTGAATATTCTTTTTTCTGGGTCATAGAAAACTCATGATTATTTTATCTAACAAAGTTCTAAAGTAGAAACACCTAATGCTGCTGAATAAGACACATAGGTTTTAAATACTAGCCCAGGTGGTCATCTTCTATGAAAGTACCTGAACTCTGCATTGAGTTCAGTCTCATCTCATTCTAACCAATTACTTTCCAGATTCTTCAGAATTAAGTATTTTATACACTCTTTCAGCAGGTCTCCGCATAAGAACTGTCAGAGGCTCTCTGCTATTACTTCAAATCCAAATTACCAGTTGGGCTTAATTTTATCTTTCTACCTCATTCATATCTTCCTATCCCATTCATCAGGTCTGCTTACTGCTCCACAAATGTTCATGGCATGGATTAAATGTCAGTTCCACATGCTTTAGTCCTAACTTCTCAATGGGATTGTAAATTCTTTCAGGAGTTATGTCTCTTAATACTTGTTTCTCTTCTTTTCAGTTCCTAGTGCTAAGCAAACAGTAAATAGCCAATGCCAGGGCTTAACTTCATCATAGTTTACACTAAGCAGTACTCAGAACAGCATCAGACACAGTAAGATATTTAATCAGGGTTTTTGTATTGAGATAATAATAATCTCAGATTCAGAAACGTGTTTTTTGTAATGCCGACATTGATAATAATACCTCATGATGAATTAAGTTCAAAAGATCTGAGTATGAATGCCAGCTCTATTATGTAATAATTGTATGACCCTGAGAAGGGTACTGGGAGCTAGTTTCCTCATTGTAAATGACAGGTGGTCATGGGGACCTCAGAGTTGTTGTGGGACTAAGTCACACACCAAACAGAAACTGTCTAAATGGTAAATGGTTCGAATAGGCATTCAGTAAATACCTATTACAGAAAATTTAAAAATCTCTTACCACTTTTTATTCTATTAGATGTCTACTTTTTACCATTATTTGAACCAGAAAGACCATTTTAAATTTTCTTTAAACTTTTTTGATGTTTGATAATTTTTGCTAGTGAAAAGTTGGTAGGCATCCTAGTAACAAAGAATATTTTTTGTTTGTTTTCTTTTTTGGTAATTATCTAGATCTTTAAAAAAAATAACAAAACAAGACAAATCTCTCTTAACTTTGGGTTGAAAATCAGGAGAGAGAGATGAGAAAAGGGAGAGAGAAGAAAAAGGGAAGGTAGAGAGACCCCTTAGATTGCTGATGGAATCATCACCCACAATACCCTTGATTTAGAGCCCATGATGAAGTTCTAGTATTAGGAGGGCCCACTTAAGGGACCCTGCCTGTTCAGAGTTGCACTGTGAGTCTCCATGGTAGAGCATGCTCTCTGATCAACTGGACTTTGCTGCAGGATGGGTGTGGCTGAAAGCAGACTACTGTGAATTAACCAGGAGGGAGAACATGAAGATCAAACTTTATTTCACCCAGAACCAGAACAATAAAATGGCATTCTTCTCTATTGACATTCTCTCCCATCTTCTTGTCCTTCCATTCAAGGCTGCTGACAGGCTGGGGTTATTGTGCCAGGCATGGAGATTCTGGCCACTGGTCAAGAGACCTCACTCTCAGATGTTGGCTCTGTCCCTGCCTTCTGAGGCCGGCCCTTGTACATGCAGAAGGACCTTAGTTGCTTCTGTAAGTATAGTAAAAGTCTGTTAATATGATGTTCAATAAGAAAAGAGTGAAGCCACCAGTTGACAAGATGAGATTTTTTTCTGACATCATTGGTTCTTTATTGAAAATTACAGATAGTATTTGAAATGGAATAAAACCTCAGAGGCTCAAATGCATCCAATAACTTGAAGTAGCATGGCCACATGCATCCACAAGGGACTGTAGCTGTTAAAGCCCTGTCCTGATTCCCTAGGCAGAACACAGTAAGGGTTATGAAATGACTGCTTTCCTCACAATAGAAGCAATTAACAATAATCATATTGTCCTATTTTTGTAAAAATCAGTGCTCTTCAATGTCGTAGCAAAAAGATGATTCAATGATAAAGGGTGGCTAGTGAGGCATTTCCTCATAAAATTTCTAAATAAATTTTACATTACATCTTATGATATTCCCTTGTCAATTATTAAAAAAAAAATTTCCTATGTCACTACTCCTGCTTCCATTGTTATTAAACTCAGAGCTGCTCAAAACTAAGGACTGATTATTCTAGACTCAGCAACAAATAGACAAACAGAAAACTCCTATCTCAAAGCCTTGTTGCCAAGAGTATTTAATGAGTAAATAGAAATTGCTAACTTTTGAAAAACACTCTGACTCAGGAAGAGAATTAGAAGAGCTTTGTGAAATGGAAGTAACTATTTGATATAACTAGCCCATTTTGGAAACAGAAAGTCAATTACTTTACTGTTCTCTCTTTGGCCAGTTTGTCTTTCTTGTTGTCCCTCTTTGACCTCTGGTGACTTTTATTATTATTTTTGCTCTGTTAAGAAGTTCAGTATTCAGTCTCTTGACTTTCCTTATTTTCACATATGTTTAGGGATGAGATACCACCATTTATTCAGAATAGCAAGAATCTTTGTAATGAAAGTCGATGACATCCATTCTAAGCTACCTATTTGTTATTAGAAAAGCAAATTGCTGTAGGAGACAAGTAAATTTGTCCATTTTCTGTGCTAGTTAAGAAAACTCATGAGGAAGATACAGAAAGGATTTAGAATCCTGCACTCAGTTTTGTGTTGTCCATAGAAATTGATGGTGTCCCCACTGGGAGTATCACCACTTCTCTCCAGGCTGTTTTGAAGCTCATGGTTTTTAGTGCATTATACCAGGGTATGGGGCAATGTTGAAAGGGGATGATGAAGTATTAAAGAAACACCCATGGCTGCATACATTAATAAAGAGCATCAGAAAGATCGAAATCATGAAATTCTTTTGTTTCCACAGTTGGATTCATTCCATTAACTGGCTTCCAAGGACGTCCAGGACACTTGGGGGAAGTTGTTTCTGGGAAATCAGAAATCAGGTTAAATGAAAGGCTATTTGGTTCTATCTGGATTTCAGGGATCCAAGAATCATCATTCTCTGTGGGAGTTGGAGGTATGTTAGTCATCATGTCTGCAATGAGATCTACGTCACGAAATTCAGGAAAGTCAACTGCTACACCTGACTGGCCAACATCCCCTTCTGTCTTCTCTTGTGTCTGTGCAGATGTAGTACTCTCTTCAGAAGAACTTGTTCTCCGATCATTTTGCTTTCCATTATGTTTTCCTTTATTTTTATGTTTTTCATGGCCATGGCCATGCTCATGTTTATGTCTATGGGTTTGGCCATGTTCCCTTTGATGTGCATGGGCAAGGCCATGTCCCTTTTGGTGCCGATGGCCTTGGTCATGCTCATGTTTATGGCCATGGCCAAGGCCATGTTTTATTTTCTTTTTATGGCCCAAGCCATGATCACGAGTGGGTCCTTGTACTGTTTCTGAATCCTGCTCTTCATCTTGCACAGGTGCCATGGAAGTGTGGGGTGGACTTACAATTGTTTCTTCTTTTGTTTCTGCCACTTGTACTGACCGGAAAGGTGAAAAACCTGGAGGTCTTTTCATCAATGAGGTCTAAATAAAAAATATTAAGATGAATGCATTACTGTGGAAACCACATTCTCAATGAAGAAAGAAGGGACTGAGACCTGACAATGCTATCTTGGTTTACAATGAAGCAAGTCTTTAGCCAGGTTATAAGTGCTATGTTAATATTGCCAAGTGGATGAGAATGAATACCTTTTCTCTTGATTGATTTTATAATTTATGAATATTTCTTTTTTTAAAATATATTTTATTGATTTTTTTACAGAGAGGAAGAGAGGGGGATAGAGAGTTAAAAACATCGATGAGAGAGAATCATCGATCAGCTGCCTGTTGCACACCCCCTACTGGATAAGTGCCTGCAATCAAGGTACATGCCCTAGACTGGAATTGAACCCAGGACCTTTCAGTCCACAGGCCGAAGCTCTATCCACTGAGCCAAACCAGTTTCGGCTGAATATTTCTTAATAATATTCCTCTAAACTGGACAGGTTTTTCTTCATCTGGAAAAACTGGGAGGTTGAACTACATAATACCGTGACACATTATTTATTAATTGACTAGAGGCCTGGTGCACGAAATTCATGCACAGGGAGTTGGGGGAGTCCCTCAGCCTGACCTGCACACTTCCAAATCTGGGGGCCCTTGAGGAATGTCCCACTGCCAGTGGGATTGGGCTTAAACTGGTAGTTTGACATCTCTCTTGCAATCTGGGACCTCTGGCTCCTAACTGATCACCTGCCTGCCTGCCTGCCCTAACCACTCTGCCTGCCTGCTTGATCCACATAATTTTCTTCTTATGACAACCTGATCCCCCTAACTACCCTCACATATTGCCTGATTTCCCTAACTGTCCTCCTTGCTGGCATGGTCACCCCCAACTGCCCTCTCCTGCTTACCTGGTCACCCCTATTAACTTTAAAAATATATATTTTCCCCTTCACACACAATTGTATTTTACTTTTTTATTGGCTTCTCACTCTCACACAATTTTTCTCTTCCTTTTATGTAACACTTTTTCCAACTGCCCTCCCCTGCAGGCTTGGTCACTCCCAACTGTCCTCCCCTGCCAAAAAGGTCTCCCTTAACTGCCCTCCCTGCTGACCTGATCACACCCAACTGCCCATCCTTGAAGACCTGGTCACCCCTAACTGCTCTTTTCTGTTGGCCTCATTGCCCACAACTGCCTCCCCTGTTGGCCATCTTGTGGCAGCCATCTTGTGACCACATGGGGGCGGCCATCTTATGTAAGAGTGTGGCAGTCAATTTGCATATTACCTCTTTATTATATAAGATACTATTTCTATTAGTACAATTATAGTTTTTATAGCAAAAGACCCTAAATGGCTTTATTGATTGAATATATATGCAGCATATGCCCACAATTACTTTGTTGGGCTGAAAAACATTAGGACATGTTCACAAGCTTGAAATTCAGCCTTTGTATAATGTCTGGTTTACACTGCATATGAACCTATACAGGAAAAACTCTAATTCAGAAAAAAAAAAAAAAGCAACTCGCATTGCAGATATGGGTGATTTCTACCTACATTTCACTCCTGGTGAGAACAGGATGCTGTAGGCAGTGTTCAGTGGTGCAAAGAGCATGGTCTTTGGGGTCAAATAAACCAGAGCCTAGTTGTAAGCATCATGTGAACATGGATGACTCTGATTTGACCTACACTTGAATCCACATACCACTAGCACTAGCTTCACTTTTCTCATCTCTAAAATAGGATTAACAGCAGCACCTGCCGCATGGAGTTGTCAACAGAAAAATATTTGTGACATCCTCAGTACAGTGCCTGGGTCAGAGGAAACACTTGATCACGTATTATCCACTCCAGGATCTCAGCATCTTTGTAATTTTTAGTGTCTCATCCTTGACAATGGGAAAAGTCTCACTTACCTTCCAAGGTTCTCTTAAGAATTGGAAAAGATGATACAAACTAATGTTTCTCACATTTGAATGTGGGTATGAAACCCTGGGGACCATATTAAACTGCAGATTTGGATTAAGTCGGTGTGGAGTGGAGTCGGACATCAAGTCCCTTGAATGGAGGCAAATGCCAGTGAAGCATCTCAGGCACAGCTTAAATCTGCAGAGCTGGCATTGGCTCTGCCCAGCGAGGGCTTCCCTTCATTAAGAGAGAGCCACCTGAGGGATAGGACATTGACAATGGGTGAGTAGTTATTAAGGGAACTGGCTGTGGTTTTCCTTTCTAGACATAAAAAAGAGAGGTCAGCACAGAAATGTGAGAGTTCTTTCCATTCTAAAAAGATAGTCCCCCAATTCATTTAAATAGTGGTTCATTTTCAACCCACAAATAGGACTTTAAAGAATGAGCAAAATTTACATTAGATGACTAATTAGAATCATACCTTTCCTGTTGATTGGCATTTGACAGTAGGATAAATTTTATTTTCCCAGGGTATCACATAAACATCAGAAGTGCACTTTAGAATTTCCTATCCATGAAAACAAAAGCCAAAAGAGAGAACAGTGTTATTCAGGAAATACTTAGACAAGTGTAAAATATTAAGTAGATTTACAAGGGATAAGTAGAGAATTGCATGACTACTCACCCCAAGTTTATTGATCTCGCAACTTTCGGTCAACTCTTTATTACTTTCCTTGGAACATGTGGTTTCCCTGGCTGTGAACTCAATAAAATATTTTCTTCCAGCCACCACCTGGAAAATTAATTAGCACAAAATAGAAACTTAATTAATATTATATAATAAACTAGAGGCCCAGTGCATGAAATTTGTGCATGGAGGGGAAGGTCCCACAGCCGAGCCTTCACCCTCTCCAATCTGGGACCCCTCAAAGGCTGTCAGACATCCCTCTCACAATCCAGGACGGCTGCCTCCCAACTGCTCACCTGTCTGCCTTCCTGATTGCCCCTAACTGCTTCTGCCTGCCAGCCTGATCACCATAACCACACCCCTGCCAGCCTGTTTGCCCTTAACTGCCCTCTGGGTTAACTGCCACTCCAGGATCTCAGCATCTTTGTAATTTTTAGTGTCTCATCCTTGATAATGGGAAAAGTCTTACTTACCTCCCAAGGTTCACTTAAGAATTGGAAATGATACAAACTAATGTTTCTCACACTTGAATGTGGGTATGAAACCCTGGGGGCCAAAGTGATGTAGCAAAGTAATGGCTGATTTGCATATTACTCTTTTATTAGATAGGATTATATGTTTTTACCTTAAGGGATCTTAGGGGAGAATATTAAAATTTTAATTATACACTGATCAAATGAGAAGTATACAAATAAAAGTACAAATGTTTGACAGCTAAATTTTTAGTTTGCATACATGTGTAAAATATTTGGCTGGTGGTTTATCTTCTTTCTTTTTCTATAAAAGGAAACAAAGCTACAATTTTTATTTTTATACTTTTATGACTTTTCTTATTCAACAACATTCAAGCACTCAAGTCTTAATAGAATCTAAGAAGAATAGGGAAAAAAAACTTAAACATTTTCTTTAAGTATGCCTTACTGTCATGCCAAGTCTTAAATCAGAGAAATGTTGAATTAGTGTCACTACAGAAATTGTGGGTTAAATTCTGTGATTAGGAAAATCCTTTAGATTTTTCAGTTTGCCTCTCTTAATCCTATCTAATAAAAGAGTGATATGCAAATTAACCATCACCCACTCAAACCACACCCATCAGCCACGCCCACCAACCAATCAGAGTGAGTATGCAAATTAACCCTAACTAAGATGGCTGCAGCCACAGAGGGCAGTTGAGAGGCTTGGGTTTCCTGGCAATAGAGGAAGCCAAGCTTTCCACACACTCTGGCCAGCCTAGGCCTCCACTCCAGGCTACAAAGTGTCAGTTATAGAAGATAAATCCCAAGAAAAATAGTGGCAGCTACAGAGCTAGAAAGAGCAGGCTAGGGTTTCCCTCGGCAACGGAGGAAGCCAAGCTTTCCACCTGCACTGGCCCACCTAGGTCTTCACTCCAGGCTACAAATTTTCAATTGTAGAAGGTAAATAAATTCCAGATACCAGGGCCTCTGCTTGGGTCGCCAGGGTGTGTGACCTGCAAACCACCACAGGCCCCTCGCCCAGGCCACACCCCAAGGGAGCCCCCACCCTGATCCAGGACACCCTTTAGGGCAAATCATCCAGCCCCCACCCATGCACCAGGCCTCTAACCTATCTAATAAAAGAGTAATATGCAGATTGACAATCAATCCAACACACAAGATAGTTGCCCCCATGTGGTCAAAGATCCTGCCCCTATGTGGACACAAGATGGTCATCACAAGATGGCCATCAGGGGAGGGCAGTTGGGAGGGACCAGGTCTTCAAGGGAGGGCAGTTGGAGGCAATCAACCCTATAGGAGAGGGCAGTTAGGGGTGACCAGGCCAGCAGAGGAGGGAAATTGGGGGCAAAGAGGCTGGTAGGGGAGCAATTAGACATCAATCAGTCTGGCACGGGAGTGATAGGGGTGATCAGGCTGGCAGGCAGAAGTGGTTGAGGCGATCAGAAAGGCAAGCAGATGAGCAGTTGGGAGCCAGCAGTCCTGGATTGTAAGATGGATGTCTGACTGCCTGTTTAGACCCAATCCCATTGGTTCTAAATGGGCAGTTTAACATCTCTCGAGGGGTCCCAGATTGGAGAGGGTACAGGCTGGGCTGAGGGACAACCCCCCAGCCGGTGCACAAATTTAGCCCTCTAGTTGTTTTACATTAAGAAATCATTTTAGCCAAAACCAGTTTGACTCAGTGGTAGAGCGTCAGTCTGCAGACTGAAAGGTCCCAGGTTCGATTCCGGTCAAGGGCATGTACCTTGGTTGCGGGCACATCCCCAGTAGGAGGTGTGCAAGAGGCAGCTGGTAGATGTTTCTCTCTCATTGATGTTTCTAACTCTCTATCCCTCTCCTTCCTCTCTGTAAAATATCAATAAAATGTATATTTAAAAAAAAGAAATCATTTTAATCTCTATCAAGAGTTTTTTTTAAAGTGGATTTTTAGAGGAAGAGGAAGGAAGAAGGAGAGAGAGAGAAACATTGATCAGCTGCCTCCTTTATGCCCCTTACTTAGGATAAAGGCTGTGCATGTGCCCTTACTGGGAATTGAATCCACAAACTTTTGGTGCTCAGGACGATGTTCAACCAACTGAGCCACACTGGCCAGTACTGTAGCAACATCTTTAATCTTTATACAATGCTGTGTCCACATGAATATTTTGTCGCCCAATTTATTTATTTATTTTTATATAAAAGAGGCACAATTTATTTATTTAAAAATTAAACTCATGCTTTTTAAAATTACACTGACTTCAATAAAATTGCACATATAGCTTTTTAAAAGTCATTTTAAAAAAATATATTTTATTGATTTTTCACAGAGAGGAAGATAGAGGGATAGAGAGTTAGAAATATCGATGAGAGAGAGTCATCAACCAGCTGCCTGTTGCACACCCCCTATTGGGGATGTGCCCGCAACCAAGGTACATGCCCTTGACCGGATTCGAACCTGAGATCTTTCAGTCTGCAAGCCGACACTCTATCCACTGAGCCAAACCGGTGCCGGCTAAAAGTCATTTTTTAAATGCCATATCTTACATCTCAAACTTTAAAAATATACTTGATAAAAGTTACTTTAAATTTTATGTTAAAAAGTTAGTTTTTATGGCCCAATTTCTAGTCCAAGTTATTCAGTACTTAATTCTAGGATCTAAGTGTGTGTGTGTGTGTGTGTGTGTGTGTGTGTGTGTGTGTGTAAAAGAATACATAAATATATCAGTTGACCTGGAGAGATGACTATTACTTTAAAAAATGAAGTTACAGCCCTGGTTGGTGTGGCTTAATCCATTAAATGTCAGTCAGGACACTTGCTTGAATTGTGGCTTTAATTTTGCACCTGATTTTCAGTCAGGACACTTGATTTTCAGTCAGGACACTTGCTTAAATTGTGGCTTTAATTCCCAGGTTTGGGGAGGAGGCTGTGTTGGGGGTGGGGGGGGTGTGATGCATGAGACAGTGGTTCTCTCTCCTTCTCCCTTCTTCTCTCTCTAAAATCAATAAAATCATATTAAGAAATAAAATAAATGAAGTTACAGGGTGATAGTATAATCTCGTTTGAAAAAGCAAACCACAACCATCTTCCCTATCTCTGTGTTTTTTAAAAGCATGGAAAATGTGTGGCGGGAGGAAGAGAGCAGGAGAACAGAGTCATAGGAAGAACTAGCTGCCCCTCTACTTTTTCTGGTATTTTTCTGCTGGGTAAATATGGTTAAATTTTTAAGAAAAATTTGATCCTTAACTTTTAAGACTCCAGGTATAGGTGTAAATGGGAAGGAATGTTCTAAAAGGGTTTTAGGGTCTATATTTTTGGTGATCATAGTTTTCTTGCTCATTTCAGAATATATCTTAATCTAACTTTCTGTAACAATAATGTTAATCAAGGTAATGTTGCCTAAGAAACTTGACAATATGTGATACAAACCACAACTGATGGCTCAACTCTATTCAGGGTCAAGAAGAAGGAATTAAACAGATGTAAATCACCCATTTGAGGTCCTCAAGATGGCATCTCTATCGCCATTACTATCAGGTGTCATTCTTATCAAAAGTCTTCCCTGCTCAAACACATCCTGTTCAATCTTTGTTTTTAAAGTAGAGATAACCATATAGCAAAATAAATTCCTAATGTATGAAGAATTTAACTTGATGAAATAAACTCAGAAGATATAAATATGTATCCATCAGGTCTTGGAAGAAGAAGGCCTTTCTTAGGTGAAAAGCAGAAAAAGAAAAATCTAAATGGAGAAAAAAATGTCTAAATTTGTTCAGAGAAAAAGGACAACTGATTCTCAAAAATCACAGCAAGCAAACTAAATAAAATAAAAGATGGGAGAAATATGGTTATAAAATTAATATTTTTATTCATGAAATCTCAGTTGGAAAAAAATGAACAAAAGACATGAACAAGTATTTCAGAAAAGAAGTTAAAGTAATCATTAAGCCAGAAATAAATGACTATCTTCATTAACAACCAAAGATTAAAAAAACCAACAACACAACAACACTTTTAATCTTCCACATGTTGGCAAAGATAAAAACACTGTGGTGATACCTGGTATTGGCCGCGTGTGGGAAGCACGCAGCCTCAGAAACTGTTGGTAGGAATAGAAATCAAAGCAAGATGATCAAGGTCCTATAGTCAAGTGGTATGAATATAAAATGGCATAAAAACAAATAGTTTGGCAATTTGACAATTGGCATCAGAAGTCTTAGACATACACATATGCCTTGACATTTCTAGTATTTTTGTTAAAGGAAAAATTCCTAAATGTGCACACCCAGATTCTTGAAGTATATTCATCTAAGATAGGGAGGAATATGGACAACAGTGGGGACAGTGGCGGCAGAGGCAGGGCAAAAGAAATGGCTTATGACAGAAATTACGTCGTTCACATGTGCAAACGGAGAATTTAAGAAATATTTGGCATCTGAAACCAGCTGGAAATGGACATGCATCCAAATAAGACTAAATATGCAAAGCCAAGGAAGACCAAATCTGTAAAATAAATCTTTGGCAAAAATTGGTTATTTGGCAAAATCATCAAGTGGTAACTTGGCTGCTTCCAGCAGGGCCTCCTTGAATAATCATGTCAGAACAGCCAAATTGTTCTCTTTAAATGTAAAAGCCAGTAGAGATTCATCTTTGTAAGTAAGTCTGAGATTCTCACCACATTTCAAATTGACTTGGCAAGTGAAGGAATGTCAGTTCCCTTCAATTTACAGTATTACCTGTTGATCCCCTGGCATCCTTGGCATAAACAAATACACGCCGTGCTGGGATACAGATTCATTAATTTACAGAGAACTGCAAGTACTATGAAGACTCGATAATCATGTATAAAATGAGTGGTTCTCTCATGACAGCAAACCTCTGATATGCAATATATGGTGGAGTAGAGGGTATTCCTGCATCAAGAATAAGGGAATTTAACAAGAAAGCAGAAATCTGAAGTGAGAAGAAAAGCTGACAAACACAAGAATAGCATTGGGGGTTTGGGTGGGTAAGAGAGCAACCAAAGGACTTGTATGCATGCCATAAGCAGAACCCAGGGACACAGACACTAGGGAGGTGAGGGCATATGTTTGGGGGTGGGAATGGCCAGGGAGATGTTAATGGGGAGAGGGGGAAAGACATATGTAAAACTAAAAATTAAATAATTTTTAAAATAAATATATATGCACCCCTATGTTCATAGCAACACAATTTATAAAAACTGAGATTTAAAAACAGCCTAAGTGCCCATGAGCAGATGAGTGGATTAAAAATGCAGTAAATCTACACAATGGAATACTATGCTGCTATAAAAAGAAGGAATTCTTACCATTTGAATAGCATGGATCAGTGCTTCTCAACCTTCCTAATGCTGCGACCCTTTAATATAGTTCCTTAAGTTGTAATGATCCCCAACCATAAAGTTATTTTTATTGCTACTTCATAACTGTAATTTTGCTACTGTTATAAATGGTAATGTAAATATCTGGGTTTTTTTCCGTGGTCTTAGGTGACCCCTGTGAAAGGGGTCATGACCCACATGTTGAGAACTGCTAGCAGGGTTGCCTAAGGCCATCAGAAAACACATATTTACATTACGATTCATAACAGTAGCAAAATTACAGTTATGAAGTAGCCACAAAAATAATTTGATGGTTGGGAGTCACCACAACATGAAGAACTGTATTAAAGGGTCACAGCATTAGGAAGGTTGCAAAACACTGCCCTAGAGGACACATTTGTGGGCTCGAAGGAGACCTAGGCAGTTGGGAAGTGACATGGAGGTGAGAGTGTGAAGAGAGTCTGGGTGATGACAGACTGACATGTGGCTGATTCCAAGGCACTAAGTGATGCTACAACAAGAAACAACTCTAGAAAGATAGAGAATAAAAGTAGATTTTCCTTGCCCTACATTTTATTAATTACATAATTTTTGCTAGAATTTATATAACACATTAAAGTTCGAGAAGATAATGTATTGACATATATTATCTCTCTTTTTATGTTCCATTTCTTTATGCATTCACTGGTTGCTTCTTGTATGTCTCATGACCTGGGATCAAACCTGCAACTTTGGCATATCAGGACAACGCCTCTGGCCAAGGCTTGACATACATGATCTTATTTGAGTTTCGCTCCAGTGTTTTACAGACAGAAAATGGAATGTTCTAAATGACTTAACTAAGATCACATAGCAAAAGCATGTAATGAGGTTGAGACATGACATTCAATTCCTTTTACCAGGTATACTATTTTCCAGCCCAAGACCAGTTGTGATATTAGTAAGCAGTTTGCATATAGACTGTAATATCACTGTTTTTGTACCTTAATTTACAGACCTGTGATGTTGCTTTGTCCACAGTGTCAATCTTGAAATAGAAGGTTGCATTATTCTCTGCATTAAACTTTGTAATGGAATGAGTCAGAGGCTCCTTTAGATTTGGGTGGTCAACTGGTATCTCTTTGGGGCAGCCAGGACAAACTCTGGTAGGTGGTAATACAAAATCCTCCGCTGAAAGAAGAAGCAGATTTTAAGTCAGTGTGTGCACCGAAGGAGCAGTCTAGCCTAGTGCCTCTCCTGAACATTGTCCAGCACTAATTAGCAGAGGGCCATGCGCAGCCTAAAGGCCAGTAGTGAGTGGGTAGAGGTTGTCTGTATGACCTTCACCTTACTGCCTGTCCTCTTTTCCTCTCCTCAGAGTCTAGGGTATTTAGGGAAACCTTCCATCAGAAGGTGTTAGCTAGTACACCTTCAATATCAATGAGCTGCACTGTTCCTAAGTTTTTGCATTTTTGAAAGAAAGTGTAAAAAAGCAACACTTAATTTAAAGGAATGATTCTCTGGTGGGAAAATTTTAAGTCCTCTGATTCTGGTGAGCAGGGAGCTTCAATGATGCTTCTCACTGTGGAATGTATGCAAACATCTTCCAAGTATGAGAAAAGCCAACTCTTGGTATAAGAAACACTGGCTTGACCATAAATTTGCACTATTCCACTTTCCCCTCAATATAATATGCAGGAGGAAAAAAAATTTAATTGAAAGGATTTTATTCTGAGTGATTAAATAGGAGATACAGTTTCCCTAATTTGTAACACCTGAGGTAGTGATATCTTATACACAAGAAAGACCAGCTGACATTGCATCTAGAGATCATCTTTGATCAAAGAACATCAATCTGTCCTGTCACCATATTCCCTCTGGCAGAGCAGTCCCAACTGCATCAGCTATAGCACAACTGTGCAGAAATGGGGTATAACTGTAAGGGCTGTTGATTATATCATGGGACCAAAGCACAATTCCTATAAAAAGACCTTGCCTGTTGTCTGGGATCAGCATGTACTAATATAGCACAAACATGTATTATTGCATACCTGGAAAAACCTCACACTTCTGTGAGAAGGAAGCAATTCTTAGCTGAGGATCCATATATGCAAGATCTGTACATTCACCGTTATCCTAGTTTTAAAAAGCAAATAAGTTAAAAATGCTTTTAAGAATTTTTAAACAACTGGTACCATTAAATATAAGATGTTGACTTTACATACAAAACCAAACCTAATCACACTGCAAAAGAGAATAAGAAACAATTAGGTATTAGTATCAACAATGATAAATGTATTTTCACAAACACATGAAATGAGATGACAAGAATACTTAGTATAGAAATAATAATCATAAAGCCCAGTCAGCATAACTCAGTGGTTGAGCATCAGGAGGTCATGGCTCGATTCCCGGTCAGGGCATATGCCCAAGTTGTAGGCTTGTTCCCTATTGTGGGGTGTGCAGGAGGCAGCTGTTCAATGGTTCTCTCACTCATTGATTTTTTTTATATCTCTTACCCTTTCCTTTTCTCTCTGAAATGAATAAAAATATATGAAAATATAATATATTTGAATGGGTAAATTTTCTTATAGAAAGATAAAGATTTTCAGACCAGTCCATGTGGTTCAATGGTTGGGTGTCAACCTAGAAACCAAGAGGTCACGTTTAGATTCCTGGGTCAGGGCATATGCTCAGGTCGTGGGCTGGATCCCCAGATTGGGGTGTGCAGGAGGCAGGTGATTGATGGTGTTCCTCTCTCATTGATATTTCTATCTCTCTATCATTCTCTCATCATTTCTTTCTAAAAATCAATAAAAACATTTTTAAAAAGAGAAAGGCAAATACTTCCATATTAATTTAAAAACAAAATTAATGTATTATATTTTCAAGAATAATATCTAGTAATATAAAAGGTAAATTAAACATAATAGATAGATTAAACATAATAGATGATCAAAACTATATGAAGCAAGTAAAAACAGAAAAAAGATCTAGAGTATTATTAATACTGGACAAAGTAAAATTCAAGTTAACAAAAACACTCATGATGATAATAGTAATGAAGGTAATTTTATTTTTATAGAGATATAATCTAGCCAAAACCAGTTTGGCTCAGTGGTAGAGCGTCGGTCTGTGGACTGAAAGGTCCCAGGTTCAATTCCGGTCAAGGGTATGTATCTGGGCTGCGGGCACATCCTCAGGGGATGTGCAAGAGGCAGCTGGTTGATGTTTCTCTCTCATAGACAATTCTAGCTCTCTATATCTCTCCCTTCCTCTCTGTAAAAAATCAATAAAATATATATTTTAAAAAAAAGATATAATCTAGAAGTTAAAATACATAAAGCAAAAATTATATATATATATCTAAAATTATATATATATATAATTTTTGATATATATATATATATATATATATATATATGTATATATGGAGAAATAGTAAAATAATGGTGGTGGAGACATTTTATATACAACGATAAATTTAAGATGGACCGAATGGATAAAAAATAAATAAATAAAATCATAAAAAATGAATAAAAAATAAAAATGTATTTAGGTGGTATTTTTATATGATCTGTATGACTTAAACACGATTTTTATAAGTATGATACATACATTTTTAATTAATTTTATATTAGGTTACAAAAAAAGCTCAATAAATTTTTAAATCAAAATAATAAAGGCATGTCCTTTGACCTCCACACCAAAAGAAATTTTTTAAAAAATATAGTTAAATAGATAAACAAAAAACTAACTACTTGGAAATCTAAACACATTTGCCTAAATAGTCAAGATCTTCTTTAGATAAGGAAAAATATAAAACAAAATAACAAAACTGAGAATTTTATATAATATTGACAGAGCAGCATTTGGAATTAAACTCATGGCTATATATGCTTTTATAATTTAAAAAGAGAGGTGAAAGAAACAAACAAAACAACCTCATACCAAAGTGTTTACATCAGGAAGTTAGAAAAAGGAAAAGAATAATAAATAACCTTAAAGGGGGGGGGGGGGGAGGAGAAAACAATAAAGCAAAACTGATGAACTAGAAAACAGAAAGCACTAGCAATAATAAATAAATCCAAATGGTCATTCTTGGGAATAGAAAAAAAAAATTTTTTTTTCAGAAAATAAAGTCCTCAGAAATGTTACAAAGAAGCTAAAAATAGGAGAAAACAAAAGAGCAGCCTAGGTAAACACCAAAATGTTGCCTTGCACAACAATTTCAAAACTACAACTAAAAGACAAAACATCTATCATCCAGAACCATAAGAAAGCTGGCTGAGTGGAAGTTCTACAACTGGAAGGAAAGAGAAAAGAGCATTGAGACATGCACAAGTGCTGAAAAGCTGAGGTATGGAGATGTGCAAATTGGTCTGCTGGCAGGCAACTGGGTACACTGCTTTTTTCAACCCAAAGGGAGACAAGCTCTTAATTACTCTTAACTCCAGTTTCTGGGGAGACACTAGGGACCCAAACTTCTACTGGAAGAAGCTGAACTGTCTGCCATTGGGTCGGAAAGTGAGGGTGACTTTTTTGCAGAGGTGCACCCAGCAATCATTTTTCACTGAGCTGGGATGCGAGACACAGGGAATTGGAAACGCAGTAATGCAGAGAAGGCTGACTGGCAGCCATCGCTGTTTGCCATGCCCTAGCCTAGGGACTCCCTGAGACCCCGCCCCACACAATCTACAAGCCTACCCAACCTATTCAGGGGTTTTTGCATATAAATGGCCTGCCTTATAGCAGAATAATCTAACAAACTGCAGCTCTGGTCAGACAACATCAAAACCTCCAAACCCCAAGCAAAGAGGACAAAACTGTAGTTCTCCCTGTAGCTCTTGCTGGGTGGCCTCAGAAAGTTGCTGACCTGCATCCCATTGGAGATCCAGAAGCTAGTGTATCTAGTGGTCAATGTAAGACAACACCAGATTTCAACTACTCACATCCATAAGTAATACATTCAAGAGGCAGACTCAGTGATCACCAAAGTCCCACTGAAACAAGTCCTACACCATAAGGGTGTCTCTAGCACAGCAGTTCTTCCATTATAGACACAGCAGGTCCTCACAGCCAATTGGCCTAGAAGTCAATTCTTCCCAGTGATACCAACAACAATCAAGACTTAACTACAACAAAGCTGTATACACAGTCCACAAAGAAGTGCACCAAGAGTGTATACCTCAGGTAACAGGGAGGCCGACCCACTGAGCCGTATAGGAAACCTAGCACACAAAGCCACCCTACCAACTCAAGGAAGCAGTGAAAATGTAGAGACAAGGAAACAGATCACAAATGAAAGAAATTGAGGAAAACAAATGACTGGTTATAGAGTTCAAAACCACAGTTATAAGGTTTTTCAAGAATTTCCTAGAAAAGGCAGATAAATTAAGCAGACCTTCAAGGATATGAAAAAAGAACCAACTAGAAATTAAACATACACTGTCTGAAAAAAAATATTATACAGAGATCCAATAGCAGACTAGAGAAATGCAAGAATCAAGTCAAAAATTTGAAATACAAAGAAGCAAAAAACACTCAACCAAAAAAGCAAAAAGAAAAAAGAATCCAAAAGTTGAAGATAGTGTAAGAAACCTTTGGGACAACTTCAAGTGTAACAATATCAGAATAATAGGGGTGCCAGAAGAAGAGAGAGAGAAAAATACTGAAAACCTATTTGAAGAAATAATGACTAAAAACTTCCCCTACCTGGTGAAAGAAATAGACTTACAAATCCAGGAAGCACACAGAACCCCAAACAAAAGGAATCTAAAGAGGACCACACCAAGATACATCATAATTAAAATGCCAAGGGCAAAAGACAAAGAGAGAATATTAAAAGCAGCAAGAGAAAAACAATTAGTTACCTACAAGGGAGCATCCATACGATTGTCAGCTGATTTCTCAACAGAAACTATGCAGGCCAGACGGGAGTGGCAAGAAATATTCAAAGTGATGAATAGCAAGAACGCACAACCAAGAGTACTCTACCCAGCCAAGGTAGTATTCAGAATTGAAGGTCAGATAAAGAGCTTCACAGATAATAAAAAACTAAAGGAGTTCATCACTGACAAACCAGTATTATATGAAATGCTAAAAGGTATTCTTTAAGAAGAGGAAGAAAAAGAAAAGGTAAAGATAAAAATTATGAACAACAAATACATATCTATCAACAAGTGAATCTAAAAATCAAGTGAATTAAAAATCTGATGGACAGAATAAACTGGTGAATATAATAGAATAAGGCCATAGAATGAAAGTGGATTGATAATTCTCAGGGAGAAAGGGATGTGGGGATACAGGAAGAGACTAGACAAATATTGTACACCTATGGATGAGGACAGTGGAAGGGGAGGTAAGGGCAGAGGATAGGATGGGCACTGGGTGGAGGGGAGTTATGGGTGGAAAAAGGAGAAACAATTGGAATAATCTGAACAATAAAATTAAATTTATTAAATTTAAAAAAGAAGCTAAAATATAAGAGAATAATTATGAACAAGTGTATGTTAATTGAAATGCCAATGAAATGAATAGTTTTCTGAAAACTATAAACAACGCTGACTTAAACACAAGAAAAATTTGAATGGACCAGTAACTGAAGTACAGAGAATGCTATCATTACTCTCAATTTCCATTCCTTTTCTCACCTCCAAACAACATAGATGTTTTATAGATGGATAATTTTTAAAATTAAAGAAACATTTAGTTCTTTGCTATGTAAACTGTTTCTGAATATAGAAAATAGTGGCACACTACCCAAGTCAAAAATTAGTGGCTAACCACCTAAGTGAAAAATAGAAGGTAGCAGAAAAGAGGAAGACTAAATATGACATGGACAGACTCCATAAAAGAAGCCACAGAAATGAGTCTACAAGTGTTCAACAGAGCTGTTGAGGTCAAGACAGTGTGGCCATCAGTCATCATCAGGTCACCAGGAGTCAGAGCTGACTCAACTGCATGTAACACATATCCAATTCATTCTATAAAACTATCAGAGGCTCAATACACAAATTCGTGCTCAGGTGGGATTGGGACTGGGCCATTTGGGAGGAGATGGTGAGAGGTTGGCCCACTCACCCACCCTGATGAAGGCCTGATCAGTGCTCCACCAACAGGGGGAAGGGGCAGGG